ACGGTGATGGTCTCCATCAACGACCTGAAGGCTGAGATAGTTCAGGTTTTAGGGTTTAGGGTTTAGGGTTTCGGGTTTAGGGTTTAGGGTTTAGGGTTACCAGGTTTTGGCACTTTTGTACAGGGATGTAGCCGGCTTTTATGCGGCTCTTGTGGGGCCTGAGGCCTTGGTATGGGTGTATCAGGTTGGAATGAGGGTTACTCGCTTTGAGGTGCTCTCTTCATAAAGATTCTATTTTTGATAAGGCTTCTTACAACCACTTAGAATCCATGTTGGGACTCCTTGTTTCTGAACCTCCCATAGATTGCTTCAGCTCACAGTTCTGCACTCCAGAAACACTGCCGTAGGACTTCAATGCTGTCGAGTTCAGCAGTGAAAACATGAGAAAGCCCCTACGGCCTCAATACTTTAAGGAAATCACACCCTGCGGTCTCGATCAGAGAAGCCTTAAGCTATGTTAGGCTGACACCCAAACGCCCTGGCGCAAGGCTTAACATAGGCGGTGTAGATATGCAGGAACTAGTGCGAAATTGCACGCTTTGCTGGTCTCTCGCCCCCGAAGCTCTAAACCCTAAACCCTGTAGTGTTGATGGCTTAGCCTTGCCGGACAGGAGCCCGACCGTGTGAGGGGGTGTAGGGTTTAGGGTTGGTTCCAGCCATCTGGACTCGGTGCTCACAAACTTGTACTATGTTATCGTATATTCAGTTTTATTGGGGTAGACTGTGTGACAGTATGGTATATCCACTGACATGTCAAAATGTAATGCAAATCATTGTAGCGTAAGATAGTGTATCATAGTGTAGTGCACACAATTATACAGGATGGCCCCACAACCTTGATATAGAAGCTGTTCGTTGTTGGAGGCCTTACAGTCTTACAGCTAGCGGATCTCGACTCTCCCCCCTAAACCCTACCCATAGGCTCCTTAGTAGTTCCTTTTTGGGATTACCTTATAGGATTCTAAATATGAACCATAAAAAGGAACTACTTAGGAGCCTATGGGTAAACCCTAAACCCTAAGACAACAACTCTCACTGCTGAAACTCTTCATCTTGAAGTCTCACCTAACCCTTTTAAAAGGCTTTTCAGGGGTTTGGGGTTTTTCTCCTGTTCCCCGAAATAGCAATATGGTCAAGCATTCCCCACAGAAACCTGCTCAAAAGGGCCGTGGAACAACAACCCAAAGCTACATCACCAACCACCGGTCCTTGGAAAAGCACTGGGCAGGCGCAAACTTGAGCCGAACACGGGACGGCCCGAAACCCAAACAAAGGTGTCATGAAGCTGCTATACTCCTGATTCTTGCAGGCTGCACTTCGAAGCCCTGATCGTGTTTCCCAAAGGCTCCATATACCTATACAGTATATACTTAGGCCTTGAAGGGGCTCCTAAAAAGATACTTTAGGGTCTAAGTATATACTGTACGGGCACATGGAGCCAGAGGGTTTCCCTAGGGGCCGAGTACCTTAGCCCTAAAAAGGTTAACCTTGTGAATTATAATATAGGGTTTAGGGTTTTAGGGTTTAGGGTTTTAGGGTCTTAGGGTTTAGGGTTTACATAAGCCCCACAAGGTTAAAGGATACCTACTCAGCCCCTAAGTTTCTAGGGGACTTTAGAACAAAGGAAGAACATCCCCGGCCAAGCATCGGCTGGGGCCTGCAAATTGTCGGCGCAAGGCTTCACGGCCTTACCCATAGACGCCTAAGTAGTTCCTTTTTGGGGATTACCTCAAAAGGATTCTAAATATAAACTCCATAAAAAGGAACTACTTAGGGGCCTATGGGTATTTACTTTGAGAAGAACGGGTCAAAACTCGGAAATGTCCGGCACCTCCTTTTTGCTCACAGGGCACGCAGGTGAACTCGGCTACCAAGAGGTGAAAGTTGTTGCCTGGTTCTGGATCTGAACCATGCGTCCTAAGCAGCCCTTCAGCTACATACTGTTTCCGGGTTGGTTTTGGAACCAAGTTAGCATACTCGGATTTAGACCGTAAACTCGTCGAAGGAGTGTAAGCTCCGGTACGTGCCATCAGCGGACGAGTGTCGCACACCTCCTGGCCAAAAAGTCTGATTCAGAGGTGGGCGCTCGAAAAATCTTGCTAAGACCAAGCCGCCTACGAATGAAACCTAAAGCCCTTGCTTATACAATCCGAAGCCTCAACCCTATCCATAAGGCCCTTAAGTAGTTCCTTTTTGTGGTTTATATTTAGAATCCTACGGTATTCCCAAAAAGGAACTACTTAGGGGGCCTATGGGTAAATGGTTTCCGAAGACCTTGCCATGGAGCCCCATTCCACACGACTGGGGCCAAGAATCAACTGCCAGACCGTTGGGTTCCCGGTTGGGGTTGGGTTTAGGATTTAGGCGGGGTTTAAGGTTTAGGATTTAGGATTTAGGGTTTATAGGGTTTAGGGTTTAGGTTCTGATTTCGAGTGGGAGTTAGCGATTTAGCGGTGTGGATGGGGCCAGTCAAGTGTCTAAGTGAGGTCAAGGCTTCCGAGTGGGGTGATACTGGTGATGATATAAATCCTTAGCATTACCTTAAGGACCCTAAACTATGGGAGTTATGGTATTATTGGCCCGGGTTTTATGGTTTTAGGACCCTAAACTATGGGAATTATGGTATATATTCCTTAGTATGGGCAATGCAGGATTCATATCATGAACCGTATGGCCGGATTATTGGCCCGGTGATACGGCTACTACAGCGGCCTGACAATCATTGATGCTATTCCTGTGAGTTCCTCTTGCAGACTATACTATGCTTCTACTATTTATAACTACTCTACTTTGCTAAGGCTATACTTCGGAACCCTGTCCTAGCCCTATGTTAGTTGCCTCATAGCTCCTCAATATAACTTTACTGCGCCATGCATCGAAACCCTATTCCAATTTTGCGGCCCCAAGGTTTGTTTCGGTTCAGATTTCTTGAACAGGCCGGGCCGACGATAATTGCCGAAGAGGCATTGCTGCTGCAACACCAGGATTACCAAGAGGGCCAAGAGGGGAAGCAGGCCAACGATGCCATGCTGGACCCAGCTGTAGAAGAGCCCAAATACCCATCCGCTGCAGAAGTAGCCGTAGCTTAAGCTCACAATACTGCCTCAAAGTCTCGCAAACCTACAAGCACCCTGTAAAGCCAAGCTTGCTGTGCTACTTCTCCAAAACCCTGTTGGACCCATCATAACACCTGTGTTTATTATATAGGGAATGAGCTTCTATGTCGGGGGCCTCATTATCAGAACAGGGTTCCGGGGTATAATTAGACTATAGCCAGATCATGTTGGGGAATGTTAAGGCAAATCCTGGTTGGCATTTATCTTCTATGGGAAGAAGCTAACTCCTATCAAAACTCCAACCCTCAACCCTAAAGCGCAACTGAACGCTAAACCTTCAGGAAAGCGCAGAGGAAGGCACTGATGACTGCCAAGAAGAACTGCAAACACTCCCGCTGGACCGAGAAAGCGCGCTTGAGCATCCGAAGGAAAACCTGGTTCCAGGGACATCCTACTAAATTCAGGAGCCTCTTTTGGGGATTGCTTAGTTTTTGGTTTTTGGTTTGGGGTGCTTTATTTTTAGCGCTTTCGGTTGGGGTTTAGGGTTTAGGACTGACGTGTTAAAAATTGGACCAAGAGTGCTGTGAGCTGGCATAGGGCTTACTGTGAGCTGTCATAGGGTTTAGGGTTTAGCATCAATCAAACATTCTTCTGGAACTTTTGGTGCCGGGAGCTGGGTAGAAGATGGGGTAAACAAGCAAGATGTTCACGAGCCAGGTCACCATGCTGGCTTTCATGTATGAGGAAAAAGCCTCGAACCCATTGCTGGCTACGCACGCCTCATCACATTGGAGAATGTCCACGCCGGAATAAAATGTCATTGGCAAACCAGCGAGCAGGCACAACCCATAGGGAACATGCAGCCTTGCTCCCACATTTTCCATGACGACGGAGCGGAGTGGACCTTGAATATAGCCATTGAAAGCATCCAGCGACTTGTCATCAATTTGATCCACCTCAACCGAATCCGAGGAACAGCTGGGCTCCAATGGTGCTCGAAATAGATGCTGCACCTGTTGCTGCACTAGTAGCCTATCGGCTGGTTCTGTACATTGTGCAGCCCGGCAATCAAAATTCGCCATTTGGTCCAACATCCTGGGTTCGGGCTAAGGAACTTAACTTCAGCTACCATGAAAAGGACACCTTATCACGCAACTATAGATCTCGATGACGGTAACTTAAGCCCCAAACCCTTATAGGACCTTTATAAACCCCTTAAGCGAATCTCTAAGGGTTCCTTTAAGGGTTCCCTTAAAGGAGCCCTTATGGATCCCAAGAAAAAGCGCCCAGGATCAGCTCGTGGCTGCGCAGCTTAGCTTTGCCAGCGATAGCCCAGGGGATCGACGCTGGTAAGCCCACCATAGACCCAAAGAGCGTAACGATGATCACCGACGTAACCTATGGGTAGTTTTCTAAACTAGGGTCCCTTCTTAGATCCACCAAAATAGTACGGCACCCTGATTTAAAAAAAAAGGGACCCCCAAAATGGACCCTGATGGTATGGACCTGAACTAGCGGAATAGGGTTTTGTGGGCATATTAATACTATACTGAACTTGGCAGCGTTGCAAAAACTAGAGTTTTGGCTGTTTCTTAGGGATTAGAGTTTTAGAGGAAGTTCTTAGGGACTACATAGAGTTCAGTCTGGAGTAACCAAAACTCAAAACAAGTTTCCAAGTACCCTTAAGAAACTGGCTCTGAGAGAGTCTCGGGAATTCTTCCTTGGATCGCTGCGACCAGCGAGTATAGAACGTCTGGAGAGACTCCATACCACAGGAAGTTCCAACCCGAGGCAGCGCCTATGTTGATAACAAGCGCCGACAGCAGCCACGGCGCCAACCAAAGCGGGAGGATATTAACCTGCATCAGGAATGCCACCTAGGCCTTATGTTGTAATACCTTCTCCTGGATGGCCGCTCGTATGGCTAGCTTGAGGCTATCTAATGGTAAGTGCCCCACCAATAAGGCTAATTAATCAATACATTAACAAGGATTTGAAACCATGCTTCGGGGTCTTGGTTGGGATTGAACCCACCTACAGTCTTCATTGTAGCTCCGTTTTTGCTACCTAGTTTTAAGGTCAGGGGCCTATAATATGAAAATGGATATCCCAAAAAGGAACTACAATGGAGACTGTAGGCAACATGCATTTTTGAGCTTCTTCGCCTACCGCTTCTCATAAGCACCTTTTTTTCTGATGAGTTGGGTGAGACTTTCAGAACATGCAGCACCGATGGTACAGACCCTACATAGATAGTCGGATCCCTCATATACATACCCAGAAACACAGGGCCCCTGATTCCAAGAACCCCCCCCTACATATTTAGGGGTGACGGCATCTTAGGATCTAGCAAGCGGGAAAACAAAGGCTCTGCCGGTCGTTTCGATGTTGCCCCAACCTGGACCCCAAAGAACCTACCTTCTTAGGGTTCCTGATTCTGATTTCCTTCTGTAAGTCCTTAACAAGGTAGCTTCTTTGGGGTCTAGGAAAGCCATAGAACCCTAAAACCTAAAGGTTTTTGGATCTCAAAGCCTCAAAAAGGTCAATCCTCAGACCAAGTTTCGGCTCAAGGTCTACAGGGCCGGCTGCGGGTTAGCGACTTCGCTTGAGAGTTCAGGGTTAAGGGTTTACTTGGATGGGTCATAAGTACCTTAATTGAGATTTTGGTAGTTCAAACAGTACTTGCCTGATGTATTTGCCTAGTGTACTGAATCCCATGTTCGTTGATTTACAGATCAACACTTCCACGGCAGTCGTTGCCGAAGTTTGCTCAGTGTTGTGCCGTGCTGCACGGTAGAAGTTAATAGGATCTCCAAGTCAAGGCTCCACGATTGGAAGCAAGCTTACAGCATAGTCTAGTGGGGCAACTTCAAACAAGCTGGATGTCTTCTCAAGCACGCCTTCTGCACACTGCCGTACTTTGCGAACGTAGCCAATTCTAGCTGACACCAAAGACGCTGGAAGTATTCGTCGTCCCACAACCTGCACGGTCAAGACGCAACAAAGCAAGGGAGAAATATGGTGTGACGAGGTCATGTGAGGCATCATCTACTGTGCGCACCAGACATCACCTCGGCACCACTCCCCGTATACTTTGTCCATATGCACATGCATATACATCGACACATACATATGCAAGTCATATGCAAATGCATATGCCTTTGTGTTGCATATATACATCTGCATAAGAATATGTACACACATATACATATACATATACATATACATATACATATACATATACATATACATATACATATACATATACATATACATATACATATACATATACAAGGAAATCCACATAAACAGATGCTACATGAGTACATACATGTACATACACATATACATAAACATTTAGAATACCTGCAGACGTTCTTACTCACTTGCTCACCTAAACTCACTGACGTGCATACCTACGCACATGCATACATTTGCACACATGAATACATGACCATGCATACACATACATACGCCCACAAACAAACAGACACACATAAATACATACGTACATACATACATACATACATACATACATGCATATACATACACACATACATACATACACATTCGTACGTACATATGTAGGCACATACATATACATATACAAGTACATATACATATACATATACATATACAGATACAGATACGGATACAGATACAGACACACACACATACATACATACATACATACATACATACATACATACATACATACATATATACATACATACATACATACATACATACATACATGAATGCATACATACATACATACGTACATACATACATACATACATACACAGATTCATACCTGCAAACATACCTACGCACCCATAGGGTCACCCATACATACATATGTAGATACAAGCATAAATACACAGATACATGCATACATGTGTATACAATACATACATACATACATACATACATACATACATACATAAATACATACCTAAGTACATACATAATACGCACATGCATATACACAAACATCCTACCTACCTACCTACCTACCTACCTACCTACCTGCCTACCTACCTACGGACATATGCACTCGAAACTAAGCATACCTAAATGCATGCTTGTGTAGAGGTATACAGGTATGTATGTATCTATGTATGTATGTATGTATGCATGCATGAATGTATGTATTCAGACATGTAATATGTGCATGTACATATGTATGTAGGTAGGCAGAAGGCCAGTATGTGTATGTATATAATACGTATTTGTATATATATATGTACATGTATATGTGCATGTGTATGTATGTGTATATGTAAGTATGTATATATGTATGTATGTAGGCATTTAGTTATTTGCTTTATTTATGCCCACATCTACGAAACAAACACAACTTTGCACCTATACTATACACACAGATTCAAACATGCACACGTGCACCTCTGCAGAAACATACGCACCTGCACACACAGACGCAACCATGCACTACCTGCAGAACCTCGCACGCGCAACGAGGTATGATCCGGAAGTTCCAAGCCTATGCAGAATACAGTCCAGCATGTATGTTGGTACCGGGTGCCATACAGACAGATAGCGGCACAATGCGAACGAAGCCATGATAATACCGCAAGTCATGAAAACATACACACAGAACTGTGCTAGAGACAACACACAACATCGCTGACATTTTAAGCAAGAAGTTTCGAGCTGCTCAATCAATCTCAGTCCAAAGAATCGAATGGATTGCGGCAGGCTCGAAACCAACACGATGTCCCTGCAGCCAAGCGACACCAACATAGAGGATGACCGCGCAACGAAAACGGGGAGCGCCTGGATCTGACGTCGTTTTAGCTCGTGGTCTGTCCTGGACTTTGAAGTAACCAGGCAGAAACAAGTATAGATTTTTATTTTTATAATGGTTCCTTTAAGGAACAGGTCCTATAAAAAAGGATTCAAGTGTGGTACTCTAGAACCCAGTGTCTGGTGCGCGCAGGCACGATCCACCCAAAGTGACGTTGGCCAGAAAGGGTGCGTGGCATGCTGGCCGAAAAAGAACATGAGAAAAAACACTCCCATGGGCAAGTAGACCAAGATAGGCAGTAACCTTAGTGTCGCTGGGTTTAGGATGTCGGGGTTTCGAACCAGCTACAGCAGCACAGGATCAAGCAGGTACATAGTCCCTAAGTGTCCATGTACCTATCTAACATGGACTTTGACCTGTATAGCAGGTAACCCGATCAACCCCTAAGGCCATCCCTGTTCTACACATTCATATACTTAGGGGCCGAGTACCTTAGCCCAAAAAAAATTAACCTTTTGAATAATAGTTGGTTTATATAAGCCCCCAAAAGGTTAAAGGTTACCTACTCAGCCCCTCAGATATAATAGACTCTTGAAGGAGCCCTTAAAGGCAGATAGACCTTCAGGGTAATGCCAAGAAGCAAGCGATTGTTCCCGAGGTTGCCAGCGCCTCCGGCACGTAAAATCATGACTGCAGTGGCCAGCACCCATGTGATTCTTGGTTTGAAACTTGTCTAGGGGTTTTGGGGTTCTCGGGTCTTTTAGAGTTTAGCTTGGGGTTAAGGCCCCCGGAAATGACTTCAAGTTACCATAAAAAAAGGATAGCGGTAGAATTACTGATCAACTAAACATCGATCCTTGGAGGGTGAAGAAACGTTCCTTCACAAGACCCCAGGATCCTGGTTCCCTGTTGGGGCTATGCTAAAAACCTATCATGCTTCTAATCCTTATTGGGTTTGGTTATAACAAAAAGGGGCTAAACTAACAATTATCACTTTTAATCCTTATTGGGTTAGGTTATAACAAAAAGTTTTAAAATATATTTAACAAAAACCCAGGATCATGGAGCAGACGAGGGCAGCTGGCAGGTTGAGATAGAGGCAGAGGTTCAAGTACTTCGCCCAGCGTGCAGCGCCCCAGCGATGACTCACGAAGACCTGCAGATCCACAATACCCAAAGGGTCCAGGCAATAGTATAGTATATCCTTTTTTGGGGCTCAAGCAGCTACTAGTACTTGGACCCTTCGGATCCACAATGGTAGGAGCACAGCAGACATCAAGCTCTCATCATCCATAAACCCCGCTGGCCAGGAGACCCAACCACAGTACTGCATGCCACAACAAAAACAATGCACAGGCAGGCCGTCAATATGGCTCAGGGATCTTTATAATTCTTGGAGTTCTAGAAGCCATCTATAAGGGCACAAGCCCATCACCACCCCGAAGCAGGCTCAACCCCTCCTAGGACCTCCCCGGTGCGGATAATTATGACTTGCAGCCCTTTCTGTTGACTCCCGGGGTGTTAACGGTCCGGTAAAGGGCTAGTGGGTGTCTATGGGTATGCACAACCTTGATTCGGTATGCACAACCTTGATTCCGAAAACCTTGCACCCAAAAAGTCCAACAGACAGCTGCCAGGAGATCAATGTCCAGAACCAGGGTGGGTGGCCGTTTATTGCGAAATCCTACGATAGCAAAATCCAGCGTGTACTACGTAGACCATAGAACATATGAGCTGGATTCTTTTTCCCAAACATTCCCATCCATAGATGTCGGGACTGCAGGAACTGCAGAAAGCAGGCGACGAGACAAACAACATGTGCCAATGCTGTGGACTGGAAACAATGCCTTGGCAGTAACATGGACCAGCAGAGGTAGGCAATATAGGGGCCGTAATAATTAAGAACAGAGTTTTGGTGGACATTCCAGCCGGGCTACATTAAGCAAGCCTGAACGAAAGATCCATGTTCGTAACAGGTATGTATTTTTTTCAAGACCTTGCAGTATAGCTTGTCCCACTGAGGTACGATGGCTGCGCCATAGGTAACCCGATAACCCGGTAACGAAACTTCCATTACACCTCAAGCTCCTCATATACGCCACCTTGTACCAAACTCCAAAACCCTATACCACCTCAACCCAACCCCTAATTTTCACAAAATGCAGGAGAGGCACATCCACCCGTTCAGTGCACCGTGTGGACTCGAAAATTCGCGACCCGGCCTCTTGCACCTTTCCGACAAAGGGGCGTGGAGGGTTTTTAGGGTTTGGAGCGTAAGGGTTCGGGGTCTAGGGTTTTGCGCTTTAGGGTTTAAGGCCCCAGGAGCCTGATGGGTTTAGAATGGTTTAGGGATTGGGGCTAAAGGTAACTCAACGCATAAGCATTAGGTCATTAGGGTTTAAGATATGAGGTTTAGGTTTAAACTAAAGATTAACATTTTTACAGCTCGGTGGTCTCTCTTTTTCTTGGGGAATCTGTTGTAAGAGGCTGTATACAGGGATCCTTATTACAATTGCAGTAGCTATCTTAGGTGGTATAAGGAACAGCTAAAGAGTCTATACACTCATAAGACCCTAAACCCGAAAATTGACACTTGAATGAGCCCGTCTAGCTTATCATTCCCTACCATGTGGAGTCTTCTCGGAAAATGCGGAAGCCTTGAGTGATGGCTTGGAGTCTAAGTCCAACTTAGTCTGGAAGGGAGAACAAAGTATAGACGTTTATTTTATAATGGTTCCTTTAAGGAACAGGTCCATTAAAAAAATATTCAAGTATGGTACTCTAGAACCCAGTAATTGGATGGTCCTGACTAAACCCTGAACGCTAAACCATAAACCCTAAACTCTAGACCCCTAATGCCTATTCTCTAAACCCTACCGAAACCCAATAATCAATATTGGTGCCTGTCAACCAACGACTTGACCGGTAGAACCCGTTTGTTCAACCTTCCAGGATAAGTCTTCGGGCTTCCGGGCTTTCCAGTTTTGGGGTCGGCTGGACGAGTGCCCACTTTGTGGCGAAGTGCAACTGGATGTTGCGCATTGTCTCCATGTCTGTCCAGGAACTGAGCGCCTCTTCAACTCGTGCCTAGGCAGCTTGATGTCGAGGCAGATTGATGCTGAGATCTACTTTGCCGTCTTGTTCCATACCAGCCTGGGGCCGGCATTAGACGTGGCCCGGGCCAAGTATGTGGCTGCAGCTGTTCGGTTGGCGTTGAGCCTTGGAGAGACTGCGTTGAGCCCAGTAAAATGTGCGCAGTTTCGACTCACCGCCTCTCCTTAGGAGTAGAGCGCTACCCGCGTGTGTTCCTCCTGAGCGTTGTTGCCGGGAGTGGGCTTGAACTGAAGCTATGAAAGAGACAGAAGTGCCAAACCAGCAACGATAACCAGTTCATGTCACTTCCCGTCTGGTGCCTGTGAACACACTGCATAACTATCATTCTATGGCTCTTGTTTAAGTTTCTACACGGCACCCCACGACAGAAGATGGGCATTTCGAGCAACACAGACAACCTCAACCGACATGGTCGAAACACACAAAAGCTCCATGCTGAACTCCGTCCGGTGGTGCCTCCTGCTTGGTCGGTATCTTGTCCGGACGGAACCCACCCGCGGCCAAGAGACCTGCAAGCTCACTCTTTTGCCGTGAGCCCCGCGAATGGTTTCTTGACAGAGTTGGAAGGACAGCTTATCGTTTACGGGTCCTTGCCGAAAAACGCCGCTCTAGAACTCTGCATTCCGGATCCTCGTAGTGAATGGCCCTATCGTATCCCAGGCAACACTCGCTGCCGGTGCATACTGACCATATGATAAAGCCGAAGAAAAAGAGACATATTCTGCAAAGTTCTTGATTACCACTCCAATAGAGGTCTCTTCTAATTGTTAATGCCCTTATCTTAAACTCGTGCCGTAACCCTCAGAACCCATTCAAGAAGCCACTGAAGGAGCATAATCTAATCTTAGCGCCGCTATAGAAAGGTACCGCTTGCGTTCAAACGGCCTACCCGACCACACAATGCGCTTCTCCAAAACCCCCAACCCCTAAACCTCTAAACCCTAAAACCCTACACCCTAAATCTCTAAACCCTTAAGTCAATGAATCCCTAAACCCTACATCCTAAACCCCTCCTACTTGGACCTGCCAGGTTTTGAGTGGAAGAGATTGAAACAGCATTGACCTCTCGGATTCGGTCCATAGGGGTGTTAAGCAGCTTCCCAGAGGGTCCTACTGTTGATGATATAAATCCTGCATGACCTTAAGGACCCTAAACTATGGGAGTTATGGTATATTCTCTTTCATGGGTAATGCATGGATTTATATCATCAACCCTAAACCCTAAACCCTAAACCCTATAAACCCTAAACCCTCAACCCCTAAACCCTCCTAAACCCCATAAAGGGTCCTTAAGGTAATGCAGGATTTATATCATCAACCGTAGGTCCCTACATGGTAGGGTTTAGGGGTTCGGGCCTAGCAACCCAATGGGTCCTAACTACCTACTTAGCAAAAACTGGGATTTCAGAAAAGTAGGGAAATTGCTGTTATGGACTAGGTGCCCTAAACCCTAAATCCTAAACACAAGTACAAGGGCTCCAAGTATGCAAATGGTACCTACTTTGGGGCCTAAAGTCTATAAATNNCTACTTTGGGCTATTTGGAGCCCCATAAAAACCCTACGCTCTGTAGGTTTAGGGTTTCGGGTATCCAACAAAAAAAAGTACTAAGCACCCCTTGGGGGTTCGGCGAGGCTTGCAGCATCCATGCTTATAGAGCATCTTTAGCAGTCATAGCGTCGGAAGAGCGAGAATGGTTCAGGGTTCAGGGGTTTAGGGGTTCAGGGTTTCTAGGAATGCCGTGTTCTACATTGCTTTGTCATCCAGTCTCCTGTCGGATCTATGTATGCAGGCAGCGCGAGAAAGCGAAGACTTTATCTAATGGTGGGCAACCTATAACCATAATCATACATAATCCATGATGATGTTTAGCTTCAGTGTTGTGTATGACCCTTTGGTCCAACCTACCCATAGGCTCCTAAGTAGTTCCTTTTTTACGGTTCATATTTAGAATCCTATAAGGTAATCCCAAAAAGGAACTGCTTAGGGGCCTATGGGTATACCGAAAACAGGAAGATTTGTGCACCTGGCAAACCCTGTACAAAGAGAACTCCGCGATTGGCCAGAATCCTCGTTGAAGCATCAGATTTGCTGTCTGTGAGGGGGTTCCTTTTCAGAGCTTCTTTTAGGCTTACCTTAAGGGCCCTCAAGGGGTTCAGGGTCTAGGGTTTAGGGTCTAGGGTTTAGGGTGTTGACAATAAGGATCCTTTCTGCCTTAGGCTTTAGGATTTAGGGCTTTCGGGCGTAGGGCTTAGGGGTTCAGGTTCGGGGGTTTAGAGTTTATGTAGGGTAGGGTTTACAACATAAAGGGGGTGCTAGGCCCGCGTTTTATAAGCTTGAAGGGTCGAGTTTATGGCGGAAAAAGGGTGTAATATATGGGCTTTCATGGTTAGAACAGGGGTTTCGGATTCTCTTGGTCGCGCAAGGACTACATTGACTATATCAGAAGATAGGGTTGAAGTGTCTTCGGTTCGCACACGTCCGGTGCTCAGACACTTCGGGCTTGTAAAACTCTTAAAACCCTTAGGCAGCCCGTTGTCGAAACCCCAAAACTGCAAAAAGAAACACTTGGCTT